CTGTTCATACTGAGCTGGTGGTTTCCATGAGGAGTACGGCCTGTTTCTTGTTGCGTGGGGTCGGCTGACGTGAGCCCCCGCAGAGCTGGGCTCTCAGTGGTTCTTATGTACTTTTGTGTAAGGGGTGCCTGCAGGGTTGTGTGTCTCCTCATCGTAATATTTTCTGACAGAACTGTCATCCTTGGTGGGGGTCACATTGTTCTCCTGTTGTCCAGGTTATCTTGGACTTGATTCCGTATGGAAACATCGTGGTGACCCGAGCACTGGATGCGGATAAAGCGCTTCTGGAGAAACTTGGTGTTTCTTCGGTTCCCTCCTGCTACTTGATTCACCCAAATGGGTCACATGGACTAGTTAACGTGTAAGTGCTTGCTTGGCCTAAGTAGTATTTGCAGCATTTGGTGGGATCCAGGAAACTGCCCCCGTGTTGAGTTGTGGGACAAAGGCTGTGAGGCCACAGGTTGGGTCTGGGGCGAAGCCAGACAAGCCCTGGCCCCGTGGCCTCCCTGCCCTGGCTGATCCCACCTGTGGTTCTGGGCTCGTGGGCATTTGCTGCCTGTGTTGTGTTTTCATGGGTTTCTGAACAAAGCCAGATCTTGCAGATGTTGTCGAATGCTGTGCTGCGTAGGGCCCTTGGCTCAAGGCTGGTCTGAGTCCGCCCTGGCAGGCACCCACGCTTGCCCCTCTCCAGAGTGCAGGGGGTGAGGAGGCCCACAGAAACCCTCACATGCCCTTTCACCTCTGCATGTGCGCCCTTGAACTGGGCCCCCCACTCAGGGTGAACAACTTTGATAAAGCTGGAAAAGCAGGATAGATGAGAAAGTTACATAACGTTCTGGGGCTGCAGGGGGAGCCTGTGGCATCCCCTCTGGTCCCAGCTTCCTCACTTGGTGGACGAGGGTGGTGTGCGGCTGGCCCTGCCCTGCTGTGGGAGGTGCCGCTCCCCTCCAGCCCCTGCCCTACTCTGCATTGAGAGGTCCCTCCGTCACCAGCAGGGCTCTCGCACGTGTGGTTTTGCCACCATTCACTCGGCAGCTCTTGCTGAGTTGCCATGTCCAGGCACCTTCTCGGTGCTGGGCCACAGCGGTGAGAAGACAGGACGGCAGTCCCTGCCTCCCGGGGCTCTGGCTGAGCAGCTGCAACGATTGACTGGGGCAGTGAGGGCGCCATGCTCAGAAGCCGTGAGCACACCACAGTTTCCCAGATGTGTTTCTATTCTGTAAAACAAGAACACATTGGATTCAAGGTCACCGCGGCCACGGAGCTTGTTTGGGTGGGCCATAAACATCTGGGGAATCTGCCCCCCGGAGCACCCATCCCAGGCCTGGAGTACAACAATCAACTTTTTAACACAAAATAACGTTAACATTTTTACTGCTATTTTGCTGTTTTTACAAATAACACCCCTTTCCTTCTTTGTAAACTGCAAGCAGCTGTGGGTATTGCTGGTGAGTCCTGAGCCACAGAGCATGTGCTCAGTGACCGTATCCACCACAGCCTCAGAAGTGTGCCCCACCCTGTGCAGGGGCCAGTGCTCAGACGTTGGGGAGGGGCCGGATGCCCCAGGCCCGGCTTCCAGATGCCCCACTCAGAGATGGCAGATTGCGGGTGCGTCGGCGAAGGCTCTTAGGCATGTTGAAAATCAGTCAGGATAAAGCTGATCCTGGCAGATGCTCAAACCAGCTTTGCAAAACGTCTTAAGGTCCCCACCAAACACCAATGAATCATAGTACTTATTACAGCTGCAGCTCAGCCGTCGTCTGTGCACCTGATTTTTCTCGTCTCATCTTCTAAGGTGGATGGTCAGCACCTGAGGCCTGGCTGTGGCTGCTGTGTCCACCACCACCTCTGCTGCCCCTAAGACCCCAGTCAATGCCCGAAGAATGAATCGGGTGGGAGGGCCCGCTAGCTTTCCTGAACCTGGGGGGAGGCTCTTCTTAGCTTGTGGCACAGGGTGGCGCGTGGCCCTCAGCCCGTCTCTCAGGTGCCATCTGTCCGCCCTCCATCCCCACAGGGCGAAGCCTCTCCGGTCCTTCTTTTCCTCTTACTTGAAGTCACTGCC